TGTCATTCAGTTCTTTTTTCTGTTGTTGCTCGCTTTCTAGTTCGTGCTGCTTGTTTTTTGTCTGCCGCCGCCTCCAAACACTTTTGCCTTCGCATTTCTTTTCCGCCGCTCACATGTGTGAGTGTGTGTTTGTTGTGCTTGGACTGGTAATTGTGTGCGTGTGTGTGTGTGTGTGTGCCCCTAGCCTTTAGGCTATGAACATCATCTTCTCTCGGCACTCTCTCCCATTGTCGGCTTCTCTCGACTTGTTTGCTTATTTGTTTGTTTTGCCTCCACTTTGCTCTTTCCTGTCTTCTTTTGTGCGTCTTCCGCGCCCACCTGACCACCCGGCACCTTCAACCCTCCTACATTTTTCCCATTTTCCGGGGGATAATTTTCTTGGTCGTTTGGCTTTTTGTGCTTTTATTATGCCGCACACGGCTCAACTTTTCAACTTGTTCGTTTTTTAGCTTTTTTCGATGCCGGCAAAATAAAATGGAATAAAAAATACATTTTCGTCAAGGACGTTAATTGTTTTGCTTCTATTTTTTTCGTCTGGCCTCAATGTGAATGTGTGCTTGTGAGTGTATGCAAGTGCGAGCAAGCGGCTAAATGTGTGTGTGTCTGTGTGTGTGTGTGTGAGAGTCCTTTGACTTTTATTTTTGCTTTTATTTTCTGACGCTGCTTGTTTATATTGTTTTTTATTGCCGCCTCAATTTGCGTGCACTTTGCGGTTGTTGTTGCTCCCGTTTTTGCACTGCGTGTCCTTGCCGTTATTTTGCTTTCTTTTTCCACTTTCTTCCGGCTTGCACACACTGCCACACTCACATATGAATAGCCATACGGCCATAAGTGGCGTTTAATTTATCAATTTGTCGTTTGCCAAAGGAATTCATTATTTGATTGTTGCTGTCTTTTTTTCCGCTTCCGGTTTCCTCCTTTGATGCGGTTTGTTAACTATTGTCTGGGCTTAATCCTTTGTTTATTTACCATCAACGGCATCGTTCCTTCCGTTAGATGTTGCCGCTTTGTCGTTGCATCGGAAGTTCAATCGGTAGCAGTGAACATTTTCTTTTTTACTTTTCTTGCCCCCCCTTTGGAGCATCTTTTTAGTGTGTCGGTAATTGGAGTCAAATGGTTTTTTGCCCTCAATGGACTATTGATTGGGGATATTGAGTCGTGAGAGAAAGGCTCTTTAACGTTAAGGCAGTGTATTCGGTTCCAGAGGACCTTTCGCCTATTGGTTAGCAGCGCTTCTAACTTTTCAGTGTTTTAGTTTAAAGTTCTGGAAACCCATTAAACCTTTTTTCTGGTTGGTTAGCAAAAAAATAACCAAAATAGTTGTCTGCAAACCGCAAATGATTTTGTAACTATTATTAAGCGAAAACTATAAAATAGGTATTGGAAGATCCCAATATCTATTTAATGTTTTCACATCTAAACAAACAAAAAAAATGTATAAGCTGCACAAGAGTCCTTCAACGATAAGATTGAAGAAGAAACCGAAGCAACTTCTCAATTAATCTCCTTTCAATCCCTGTCATAAACGCAGCACTTATTCAAATACGTCACGTAATTAAAACGCAAGTCCCGAGGCTAGCCAAAATAAGTAATTGCCACCATGTTCGACAACTCATCAGCAAACAGGAAAATTGTCCAGGAGTAGAGATGATAAAAAATTGACAAAGACGGGTAGAATGCCCAGCAAGGAAAACTCCAACCAAATTGACAAATTAAAAGCAAGTGAAAATTTTCGAAAAACCCTGAACGAAGAACAGGAGAGCTTTGAAAAGGAAACAAGTTGGGAGCCCAGTGGACAATTAAGCAAGGGGGGATCGACAATTAAAAGGAAAAGGGGTCGATTGTTGGCGCTTGGAAGGGGGGACGACTGAAGAATCGACAACTTTCGGGCGCGCAATTATGATTATGGGTGCGTTTGCCCATTCTTACGGCCAAATCCTACTTTAATTGTTTTTTTTTTGTTCGCTCTTCTCTCTTATTTTTCCCATTTTTCCAGGGATGCTGCTGCTGCCCAGTTGCCTGGACGGAAATTCATTAGAGCAACCCTAGAGAAGCGGCGCAGGGGTAACTAGTCCCTGGTCATGTCAAAGCGACTCCAAGACGTTGTCTTGGCTTTTTTCCTCCGAGAAAATTGCAATTTTTCCAGGACCAGGGCCAGACATCGATGGGACTGGGACGATTGTCCCTGCCCGGCAGACAGAGCATCCAACCCCTCTCCACACCATTCGCCAGATCCTTGGGAGGGTCTGGGGGCAAAAAAGGGCTTCGCATCCTGCCAACGATAAAAAAGGGAAGAGAATAAGGACCGCTAGACGACGGGCAGGCGAGCAAACATAAAAATGCGTTTGTGCCTGCAGAAGTCCCTTTTCGAAAGGCTGCTCTGTGGGTGGAGGGTTTCGGCAGGGTGGCGACTTGGACGGGCACCTAAACTGAAAGTAATCAACCCACACACAAACACACAGAGCTTTGGAGATACACCCACACAGATACATGGCAAAAAGGACCAGAAACGCGTCTCCACCTTCACTCATTTGCACAAAACACACCCACAACTTTGGTCCGAGCTGGAGAAACTTTTTTTCGCTTTCGCCGCTCCAGCAATTCTGCTTCCTCCGCGTCGAGGGGCGGGTGGGGCGTGGCATTGTTCTTGTGCCGCCATGAAAATTAATGAAGAAGTGCCCGACCCATGTTCCAGAGGCACTAAAACTCCGTTCCCCGCCCATCGACCCACCGACTGACAGACAGACGCTCCGGTCCCCAGTTTTTGAGGTTAGTTTGGGGTCTGAGACTGGGACTGGGATTGGGACTGGGATTGGGATTGGGACTGGGACTTGGGACCTGGGCTTAGAGCTGGGTGTGTGGCAGTGGGTATGTGGAAAGGACGACTCCCTCCTGGGGGTGGGTGTGTGCCCATTGTTGCTGGCTTCCAATTTTTTCGCAGTCCCCTAGCACTAAAATGGGTTTTACATAAATTCCGGACCCCAGTTCGGATCTAAAAGGTATATATAATTGAAATACAAAAGATAATAAGCCAATAAACAATTTTAGTATTCTGAACTTAAATTGAAACATATTTGAAAAGTACTTTAATAAGCATTTGAAGAAGCGTTTAAAATACTATTCAAATGATATTGAAGTTCAGTGCAATAAGAAGGCCCAACATGATTGGGTTCTTGAAAAAACCGTAATTTTCAAACGAATTACAATGCCCGCAGGATAACACAATATGTGCAACTTTCAGATTACTTATACAATTTACGCAACTAGATTCCTACTTCAACAGACTAAATTCTGTTCAAAAAATGTCCCGCACCGAATGACAATATCTGAAACGAAACGGGTAAAAAAACCCAAAAGCTATTTGGACACACTCACGGAGCATTGGTCAAGCCAAACCCTTTGGGTGGTGGAGGATTTGTGGATGGCGCTGCGTTTTCGAGTGTGGGAGACCCCAACTGACTCACCCAGCTGGGACGAGGACTCGGAGGACAAACACACACACATCCCGCGCCCACATACGGTCAAGTGGGTGTTGACCTGTTCACATTTAGAGGGGCCGGGACTAGTTGTTGCCTCGTTTTTTTCGGATCGGGGAGGGGGGTTGAAGTCGCCCGGCTGCGGCAACTGTCGCTAGATGGCGCCAGCCGGGACTCCGAACAGGAGCCGTGGTAGCAACAGGACATGGACGAGGACGACGCCTTTGCTTTTAGCTTGATTGCCAAGCCTAGTTAACTGTAAAGTTTTATAACTTTGGCCGGCCACCCAATCACCGCCTCCTCGCTTTGCCTCACCTGTAAAGCGTTAAAATCGGTTGGTTTATAGCACGCGCCAACGCAGCCCTCGCTCCACGGCCTTCCTGCCCCCTAAGCCGAGTTCGTCCTGGCTTTAGCGCCGACACCCCTTTATCCCTGACAGCGCCGACGCTCGTTCGACCCTTTTAAAAAGTCGTCAATACTCGCCTTGTCTGCCCCCGCCCGTGGAAAAGGACGAAAAGGGTTTGGGGATACGTGCAACGGCCTTCGAGCTCTGAGCTCTGGGCAAGGACTCCGGCCAGGAGCCAGGGGAGCTGCCACGGAGCCACGGACCTGGGACCAGGACAAGGACCAGAGGACCAGAGGACCGGGCGTCTATCAAATTCCAATTTCGGTCCCTTTTTTTCCTCCGCTCTGCTGGCATTCAAGGTTTATGGCGTCTTTTTAGCGTAAATCCTGCATGGTCATGTCTGAAGTCCGGTCCCGCTGTTGCACCATTCAGCGACCGTTGCTGGACCGTAACCTCCCAGTCCCTGGGTCTATATAATTCCATCCTATCGGTGGAGCTACATCTTCAATATCCTAACTTCGGCACCCATACTCAGGCTCATGCCAACGAGTAGGAAATTGTATTGTGTTGTATTTTAAATGCTATTTGGAAGCTCACTATATAGAAAGATTTGATTTTCGCAGTACTCTGCTGCTGATTGCACTAGCAATCAGTATCACAATATTATTCAAGTATACCCAACTGAGAATATTGTTTTGTATGCTATTGTTGTATGCTAAATCTTTTGAAAAAAGGTTTTGATCAAAGGTTCAACGTCTTATTTGTTTCCAGTAAGACTCTTCGCGAAAGTTAACTTGTATTAATAGTAATAATAATATTGTATTGCTGAATCATTGCCGACCGCTATCAAAAGCTTGAGATTCGCTTTGCAATGAAGAAATGCAAAGCCAAGATGTTTTATTGTGTATTTTAAGATTATGAATACTCATTTAGCGTGGAAGCAGGGGACACTATTACACATTATAATAAGGTCGAGAGCGGAGTGACTTGTTTTTCATGTGAGAGGAACAAAATGAACTGCAAAAACCGGTATTTTCTGTTGGGGAATGGCATAAGTATATGCAGGTTAAAACAATTCACAACAATTCATTCAAAACTTCTTTGGTGATAAGGACACATAATAATTTTGTTATTTCAATAGCACTTGAATCCCTCTGTTGATTTTATTTATTTGTTGATTTATATTGAAAACAAAAGCACCATTCAGATTAAAATTTCTTTCAATAAGACGGCAGCCTCTAAATATCCAGCTGCAAGTGACTTTTTAAAAATAAATCAGGGTATATATATATATATATATATATACAGCGTGATTGGCATCGATCGTCCATTGTGTGGCTAGGCTGGCAGAGTCCAGTTCAGTTTGAGCGAAGCACTTAAAGTGGTCGCATGTTTCGCATAAAAAGCAAGAATGAAGTTCGAAAGTCTTCTGATTATCTGCATTAGCTTGCTTCTCCAACTACAGGTAACACACTCAATTTCTTACCATCCGAAAAATAATACTACTATTGTCATTTATAGATGGGAGCAACTACGAGTATACGAGTGTTGAAATCGGACAACAGGGAACACTTAAGAAGAACGGAAGTCATGCCCACACAAATTCAAAGAAATTCGAGTTGTTATATTTGCCTGCTGTTATTCAGTAGTGAAACTATTTCTTCTGTTGGAGCTTACAGTCCTGAAAATGATCCTCACCGAAAATGGATCTGGTTTAATGAGCAGGATAAGCGGGGCTTATGGCCTTCGACACAGCGGCCTCTGGAACATTGGCCCACCCTGGCACCCCCAAACTTGGATGATTCGGAGCTCCAATGGCATCCAGTCTCAGATCCAACGTCAGCCGAGCCCACTTTGGACCCACTACCCACGCCCACAACCATGGGCAAAGGATATGACTCGGTAATCGATGACTATTTGGCAAAGGTGGATCTCACTGTCGCGGACATCGAGGAGGAGGATGGCCAGCTGGTCACCACAATCGTGGACAAACAAGGACGAGTTCTAAGTGTCACTTTTGCACTGAGTAATGACAAAGGACGAGAGCTTTCTACGATCAAACGGCGTCACACTACGAAATGATGTATATATATACAACTAAAAAGTGTAAGCAAATATGAATACATATATTAAAATGCCTTAACAGACAATTTTAGTATAAATAATAGGTATTTCCTTTCAAGTGCAAAATAATTACTTGAGACTTATCTCGTAATTTCTAGTTTATTACTGGATGACTCAATTTAGAGCACCAATTTAACACAGGGAATTTTCATGAAAAATTTCGAGTACTAAGAATCAGTAAAATAAGCTTTGTTTTATGATATTTTTCGGAGAAATAATATGTTCCCAGTCTTTGATAGGGACGACTTTGCGAAACCGGTTGATAACCTTAGTGTAGCCACTGCGAACAGAAGCGACGAGCTCAGTTGATTAGAATTTTAAAATCAGTTCGATTCTGGTGATCGACGAGTTACCAAGTGTCGCGGAAAGATCGATAATGCAGTACTCTTATCTACTGGCAATATGTGTCAGCCTGCTGCTTCTGAAACTGGAGGTAGGTCAAGGAAATCCCCGGAAGTCCGAAACTGACGGCATCTTTCGCTTACAGTGGACAGCAGCAACTACCATTCCCGCTGAACCATGCCCGGAACTTTTAAAAGCGGCCAGGGAAATGGGATTGGATGAAGCTGCCATTCGAGAATTGTGGAATAGCAAGAAGCCGCTGGTTATCAGAAATCAAAACGATGCTGGTTCTATCACCTCTGTGAGCACCTATGTGCTAAGTCCGGATGGCAGATCGATGTCAAGGAACACGGTATCAGAGCAAACACTGCCTGCTAGGCTAGCGGATAATGTCCCCTCCAAGCCCCAGGAAGATTGGGAGTACGTGCCGAGTCAGTTCAGTACTATTGGAGAATCTAACATCGGGACAGATAATTTGATAGGTAATTTTTTTGGAAAGGGTTTCCGGACGCCTTTATTGATTCCCAACTGGGATCTGCCAGCGGGAGTGACTCCGCAGGTTACAACCAAGACGGAAACGAATAGCTCGGGTCAAAAGGTGACCACCACAACTAGAACTTATAGCGGTGTGCTGGTCCCTGGAACTAATGTGTTCAAGCAGACATTCCCCGACATCTCTAGAGAGCCTGGTCCAATTAACACAGACTCCAACCCAGCCGAAAATCCGAACACTGCCGCCTTTCCCGCAGCTCGTACTGGACCTACTGATTCCAACTCCGTATATTATTCCGGAAACCAAGGGAAACCCGTCTTTGTGCCAGTGATTGACTCAACCACCACCCAGCGGACTTCAGTTCCCCTGCCCACCCTCGCAGTACCAAGAGTGGACGGATCGGACCATCCCATTGAAGATTTCTTGGCACAAGTGAATCTGAGTGCCTCAGAAATTGAGAATTCGAATGGTGAAGTGGTCAAGACGATTTTGGATAAGAACGGTAGAATTCTAACTGCCAGATTTGTGCTGAGCTCGGTCAAAGGAACTGAGGAAGGTCCTCAGCAGCAAAGGCCGACCAAATAAATAGCTCGTTTTAAATAATATTATAAAGAAAATATCGCGATGTTTCGTAAACAATGCTTAGAATGCCATAGCGCAGCTAAATAAATGAGCTTATCAGCCGAGCCTAGGCCCAGAAAATATAACACAAGTTCTAAGTCAATCTATCACTGAAATCTGACCTTTATATAGGTGGGAAATTGATAAGGGTGTATGAGTTGATGTATGATTTTCAGCTCAATTGCGCTATTTTTCTGACTTACCTGTTATATATATACATATATATATTAGCAACTGTAAATATACATAAATACGCAACTACAAAGCGCTCTAAATTATTCAAAAGCTACTCGCATACATGTATACATTTTGGGAAATTAATAATTCTTTATTTTCAGATCGTTGGCCAAATTAATTAAAAAGCATTAATAGTTTTGTATAGCTAATTTATTACAAACAATTTTTTTTGTTTTCGCTAACAACTGAGCTGTAAAAAATAAAAAGAAATGAAAAATATAATTGGGATAATAAAAAATCAACGAAATAATATCAAATAATAACATTTGGGCACTAAGCATGATTAACAAAACATTTCAGCAAAGGAATAAATAATTGCATCCAAAAATTATTCAAGCATTAGGAGATCAAAATTATAAACATAAAAAACGCAAAGCGGAGCGCGGAACGAGAAATTCAATTGGAATTCCACTGCAAACTGATTAAAGCACGTCGAAAAAACTATTGCATAATTTTGTGCGCAGCTCAGTGCAAAGCGCATTTGGTGGCCGAAAGCAATTGTTGGTTATGGCTGATTTGGTTGCAGTTCTTTGTAGTCTTTGTAGTGTGGCTGACTGCCTGGTGGTAGTTGTTCGGCCGACAAGAGTGTTTTTCTGTCATTGTCTTTCTCGCTCGTTAGCATTGCATTAGTTGGGTTACATTTATAAGCCAAGCATGTCAGAGAAAAGAGAAACTAGATTAGTAAAAAATGTTGTTTTAGCGAGTGGATATCATGTGCAAGTCGTGGGTGAAGCATTTTTTCTTAAGTCTAAATATGCGGGTTGAAGCCAAGAAAGCAAATAATGGTTGCGCTCTGGCAACTTAACTCAATTTAAAAACACCGTCTTCCTTCGGGCGCTATGTAAAATTCAACTACGCATAAAGTATGTTACAAAAAGCATTAATATTTAAGGAATTTTGTTGAGCCCTTTGTTTGATTCTGTTAGCGAATAACCATATTTAAATATGTAGGTGTACAAGTTTAAAAACTTTTTGTACACTTTTTTATGAGATATTGTAATAAAGGTTTCACATCGCCAGCGGCTTTCAAATTTAATATAATACGTTCAATATAAAATATATATGGCTGGGTAGAAAAATTTCCCAATGATTGACAAACGTTTTTTTGCATCAATAATGTAAATTTCAATAAAATTTGGTAAAAATAACTTATTGCTCGATAAAACTTTGATTGCTCTTTTGAGATCGGATATTTCCATTCAATTAACTGTAGCGGAATCTATCATAACCTCTCAAATTCATCCTCAACATTCGCTTAGCTCTAGAGCGAGTACTTGAAGTCCTTACTCACCAGATTGTCGAACCGCAAGGCATCCTCATCGCTGAGTCCCATGCTACGTGTCAACTGCAAATATGTCGAAGTGATAGGCTTCAATCGCTCCAAATCCAGCGGCGGCAGCGGCAAGGACAGCTCCACAGGCGGCATGCCACGCAGTTGGGGAATGCGTAGTTCCGGCAATGGTTTCGGTGGACTGGGCAGTTCCAGCTTGAGCGGAACAGGGGTCGATGTGGATGGGGCATGTCCGGTCTTCAGGCTGGAAAATACAGATTTCGTTAGATTAATCGGAGTGTGAGCTGTATCCTTGGGGGCGGCGGAGGTGGCTGTTGAGGCCACGAGAGGAGTGCGTGCCCGCAACAAGCTATCCGGAGAGGTCTTGATCTGGGGCGGATTGGGTGGCGGAGTTGCGGCCTTGGGAGGAGCCAGCATCTTGCCAGGGACTGAGGTAGTTGTGGTAGGGGTCGTAGGGGTGGCTGTGGCCGCGGTTGAGATGGTGGTTGGATAGCTGAGGCTCTGCAACAGGCTGCTGCCGTAGATGGGCGGTGCTAAAACCGGTTCGCCGGCATAGAAGCGCCTCATGAAGTGATAGTATCGCAACAGATTATCCCGCGACTTTAGCAGCTGTGCATCAAAGCATTGGCCACTTGGCTGGGCATTGGATTGTGGCTGCGATTGGGATGGGGAGTGGGCTTGGGTTTGGGTTTGGGTTAGGGTTTGGGGACTGGTGTTCGGGTCAGCAGGGGACTGATCTAGCGGACTCGACGGACGCTGCAACTGAGTCTTGATACGGATTTTGGGCACGCTAACAGGTGTGGTCTCAACAGCCACCTCTGCCGTCAGCGGTGGCTTGGGGCTTCGGCTCTGGGGCAGTCCAGTCCACAGGACATCCAGCTGGGTGGCACTCGTGCTGCTGGCCACTCCCGCACCCACAGCCAAGCCACTGGCGGCCATTTGGGCCTTGATTTCGGCGCTCGAGTGCCGACGGCGCTTGGCCGTTGGCCCCGCCTCCAGCGGGGTCTCCGTGTGCGATGAATAATTGAGGTAGTTCTCCACTTCGGAGGAGCTCTCATTGCCGGCCAGGTCGGAGTCTTTTCCGCCCCCCGATGGTGAGGAGGGGCGAAGGTTCTTCTTGCACTCGGGACAAATGGTCAGGAAGCGGGTGACCGCCTCACGGGGCAAGAACGCATAGGTTTCAGTGATCTGCGGTGAAGAAATAGATAAAGATATAGTAGTAAAGGAATAGTACGATTTGTCATGCAATCAGCTTATAATTCAAATATAATTTCAGATACAAATGCTGTTTTGTTAGAATCTGAAAGGGTTATCACAATCATACATAAATACAATCCTAGCGATGTTGCACGCTCTACTCACAATGCGGTAGGTGCGCTTTTGGCCCGCGTGCATGCCACTGCGGCCTCCCAGTTCCATGTGCACATTGTAGATGATGTCAAAGAACTCTTCCACACAGGCCACTTTGCGGTAGGTTCGTCGACCGAATCCCTTGCTGGTGGACGCGGCGAATAGGTCCACATCACCGGGATTGTCCGACAAAATGGCCGAGCTAGGAAGACTTTTCAGGCAGCGTCTACTGCCTGGTGCCTCTTCGAAGTCCTCGGGTCGATTAGTAGTAAAGCCTGTCAAGAAAATATGTTGCACATGATATTCCACTTTCACCTTCCCCGTCCCTCACTTACCCTTTGTCTTGACCCAAAAGCGGAACTTGGAGCTGTCGGGGCGACTGTGCTCCTTGCCCTCGAGTGCCTTAAGAATTCGCGCCTTCTTGCGCAGTGTTATCGTCTTGGTCTTGGCCTGATCGCCATACGTGCTGAGGGCCCACGGCTGGAACAGCTCGTAGATGATCTCGCGCTCCGCCGTCGGCTGCTCTAGCTCTTCCACATCCGCATCGTAGGCCAGGTCAGTCTCCACCTTGCCCACAGTCACCGGCGAGCTCTCCTCGCACTCATCGATGGCATAGAGCTTCCTTTTGCTGCTCCAGCCCTCGGACGTGGCAGTCGTCGCCGAGGACTGTGGGTGAGGTGACTCAGACTGGTCTGTACTGGGCTTGCCACTGCCATTCGAGTGCTCCATAATGCGAGTTTTGGGGGTCAAGAACGCTGTTTAAGGGACTCGGAAACTAGCAAAATCAAAGCCAAGTCCAAGCGATAATCGATGACATGGGGTATTTGGGCAGAATTTTGTGTGAAATTAGAATTTCAGCTGAATTCAATTCTTCGTTTGGTGGGATTTCTCGGAATGTCCTGCAATAGATGGGTGCAACAAGTTTTGATCGTACATTTTCACGATAAGCTTCGAAGACTTAGGACAAAATTAAGTGCATTAAGAACTTATTACTAATGCACAACTTCTATATTACAAATACTGCACTTTCTAGGTCAACAAACTTTTAATTATACAAGGAATCAGAGTCTTAAATATTTGTTGCCGAATCAATTATTTGCACTGCTTAAAATACATACTTTTTGTATGTTCAACTTGGGTTTGATGGGTTGGCGAAATATCAGACACAATTTTTCGAACAAATATTTAACGAAAGGTCAACGAAACGATGAATTTTTTAACAATATTAAAAGTGTAACGGAAATCCCACAAAAACGAAAAACAAGCTTCAGATCTTTTCGGCTCAACAAATAACCAAAGGCCAAAAAAGAAATGAGTAACAGCGAACGCGACGCGACCGAATGAAAGTTCAAACACAACTGACTGCCCAACTGATCAACGTCCCGCCGAGAAGATCTCGAGGAGATGCGGATGCTTGAAGGTCTCAGGGTCCAGTCGAAGACAGGCTGGTCCAGATGCAAACCGGTTGATCGGGCATCTTTGAACTCTGAACTCCTCGGGGCTGGAGTGCCAGACAAATGCCGGAGAAGCCAGCCCCCGAGCACGCTCGTATCTGGCAGATAACCATAGAGTGCCTACCTCAATAAGTTGCGCAATTGCTGGTCAGCCGGGATTTGCCCGATTTGCCCGATTTGCCCGGCTGAACTTCCTGTTGCCGAGCTGAGCCAACCCAAAGATGATGATGGTACAGCTAAAGTCACCCCTAACCCGGCACTTAGGTGTTTTGCATTTTCACTAGCATACTTTAGGGCAGAAGAGGCAGAGAGCGGCAAGAACAGGAAAAAGTGGCGCTCGTTTTTCCAGCCATGAAAAACGACGATGACGTTTAGAGGTCGACATAGCCACCCACCAACCCATCCAAACAACCGCCTGTTGCTCCTCTTTTCGCCTTCAAGTGTATATTATGTTGTTTCGTTTGTTTTGCGTTGAGTTGGCAAACGAAGTGTCACAAGTTGCGCCACTTGATAATAGCATGTTTATAACGCGGTTAAAAAGTGTTGTTCCAAAGAAAAACAGAAATAAGCAAGCTTCGCGGGAAAATAATAAAGAAAATTGCTAAGGATAGTTGACCGTCATTTACAAGGCTCGCCTAGAAGCAGACCCTAGAAATATTCACCATATCTTATTCGGCAATGGGATGGTCCTTAGAGAAGTGGATATCCTCTTAGGGGTGATTCTTCATTGTTTAAGTGTTTCTCAGATATTTCTTATTTTTATGCTCTCAAATTC